CTTTTTTCTTTTTGCTTATGTGGTGCTGAGGAATCGAACCCAGGGCCTCAGGCATGCAAGGCAAACGCTCTACCACTGAGCTACCTTCCCAGCCCGGAAAATACCCTTTAAATTATGACAAACACTCCCTGGAAAATGGGTGTAAGGATTTTCCAAGCATATAATCATGATGTTTTTCATCAAACATGATAAATGAATAATAAATGTTGATATCCTAAAAATATGTATCATATACTGTGATAGAATTTGTAAGTATAAGCACATACAATTCTTGAAGTAGTAGGGAAATTAAACTAGACAAAGACATTTACAAAAAAATGCAGACAAAAACCATGTACTGGTGGCTCACTCCTATAATCCTATCTACTCAGGAGGCTGAGATCTGAGGATCACAGTTCAAAGCCAGCCTGGGTAGGAAAGTCCATGAAACTCTTATCTCCAATTAACCACTTAGAAAACTGGAAGTGTTGCAGTGGCTCAAGTGGTAGAGCACTTGCCTTGAGCTGAAGAGCTCAGGAACAGTGCCCAGACCCAGAGTTCAAGCCCCACAACCAAAAAAAAAAAAAAAAATGCAGACAGGCTTTTGGATGGAATAGATAGGAAAACACAGACTAGTTCAAGAAGTACTAAGGTCTAGTGTTGGTGGCTCACACCTGTAATCCCAGCTACTGAGTAGGCTGAGGTCCAAAGAAAGAGATTTAAAGCCAGTCATGCAAAAGTCTTACCTCCGATTAAGCAGCAAAAAGTCAGAAGTAGCAGTACAGCTCAAGTGGCAGAGCACCAGTCTTGAGCCAAAGAGCCAGGCGGATCATGAAACCCTGAGTTCCAGCCCCAGTATGGGCCCAAGAAGAAAAGAAATACTTTGAGTCTGTAGTTCAAAACAGTGCCCAGTCTGGTGTGGACAGTTAAATATTGCACCATTCACTGAGAGGAACAAGGAAATAGGGAGCAGAGAAAGTAAGGTCATTTTTTAGGTGTTATAGGGTACCCAGACATAGATGGCCAACAAAATTTGTTCTTTTCACCAGTGAAATAATTGATTATAGTTTTTCTCATTGGAAGAATGTATGTAATCTTTGTAAACTGGTAAGCATAGTACCTAGTATATAACATGTACTTAGTAAGTATTATTGTTAGTAAATATTGGTCTGAAGCTCAAGACAGAGATTCAAGTTACAGGTGATAATTTAAAGCTGTTGAATTAGTTAAGATAACCTAAGGAATAGTAATTGTAGTTGAAGAAGAAAAAACTCAACACTTAGCATTACCTCTTCATTTGAGTACTTATTGTTGCCATATTTGTATTTTTATATTTTTACTTGAACAATAGTAAAGTCCTTTTAAATTTACTTGTAACAGGATCTAATACAGAGACATATAAAGTTGATTGAATAAGCTTTTGGTGAAAGTTTTTAATCCATATCTATACCATATTGTTCTCTCTCTCTCCTAGCAATGGTTTAAACTGTTTCTTTAAATTTCTTGCTTGGATTTATACGGGTTCAGCAAGTATGTTCTCAGAAGCTATACACTCATTATCTGATACTTGTAACCAGGTAAGGAGAAAAGGGGATCTTTAATATTATTTAAAGTAGTTTTTTTAAGCTATAGTGTAAAAAATGATCTATTCAAAGAGTGAGTGATTGCCATAGTTGGCTTATGGAAGAAAATAAGCTGCTTTATTTCAGAGCTGTGGCCTTGTGAGTACAGGTTATGCATCTGTGATCCACAGCACCACATTGAACCAACAGTGGGTTCCAAGTACTCAGAAAAACATGTATCTTTCAACAAAACAGCTTAAAAATTACATGTATGCTGTGTAAATTGTATTTTCATTACATGAAAAGTACTATAGAGATCATTTTAAATATTTGAATGTTTTTAGGTCATATGCAATTACTGTACTATTTTATACAAAAGACTTGAGCAGCCAAGTACTTTAAAGTTTTTTGTTTTTCTGTTTTTTGTCGGTCATGGGGCTTGAACTCGGCCTGGGTGCTGTCCCTCAGCTCTTCAGCTTAAGGTTAACACTCTACCACTTGAGTCACAGCGCCACTTTGGCTTTTTTCTGTTTTTTTTTTGTTTTGTTTTGTGTTTTTTTTTGTTGTTGTTGTTGTTTTTATGGTGCTGAAGAATGGAACCCAGGACCTCATGCATACAAGGCAAACACTGTACCACTGAGCCATTTTCCCAGCCCCAAACTTTAAAGTCTTTAGGTGGTTATAGAATTAACCCCCAGTGATACTGAGAGATAACTGTACATAGGAATGTGATCATTGTTGTGTGCATATGCAACACACACACACATAAACAATTGTTGTTATTGTTGTTGTTGTTCCTGACTTTGAACTCAGGGCCTCAAGCTTACTCAGCTTTTTTGGTTGGCTGGCTCAACTACTCATGCCATGCTTCCAGCCCAGATCTTGTCGATTATTTCAGAGATGGAATCTCTCAGACTTCTCTATGTCATGTCTGCTCTATTCCAGGTGTCAGCCTCCTGAAAATAGCTAGAATTGGAGGCCTGAGTCACCAGAACTGGGCTTATGGTCATAGTTTAAAACAAAATTTTATGCTTTAAAAACTTGAGTTACTTAATATTTGGTTACAAGCTTTTGTGAAAAAACTGTTACATTAAGTTAAAATTTGCTTTGTAAGTATATCCTTAATAACGTAATTAACAAATTTAAGTTCTTTGGATAAAGATATAAAATAAATATTCTGTGGTTTAAAATGTGTTTACATTAGATTAGTGACTTGACTTGCCTTCCTTGAATTTGCAAATGAAGAATTAAAAAAAATTAAAGTATCTTCTAATCTCTTGTGGCCCAAATTATGAATATGAAAAAAACCAAACCTTTGAAAGTAATGCTATATTAGCTGGGCATTGGTAGATTATGTGTATGAGGCTGAGGATCATGGTTCAAAGCCAGCTCCAGCAAGTCCATGAGACCCTTATCTCCAGTTAACCACCAGAAAACCAGAAGTGGCACTGTGGCTCAGAGTGATAAAACACTAGCCATGAGCAGAAGAGCTCAGGACGCCCAGGCTCTGAGTTCAATCCCCACAATAAAATAAATAAATAAATAAACCCTACAAAAATACTTGTGTATCTGTTCAGTATAAGAGAATAATTTTTCAGTGTTTACATATAATTCTATTTACATTGGAACAAGTTTGGGAGACTATACAGTGAAAGAGTTATAAGAATATTTAAGAGCCACTCATGCCTGTAATCCTAGCTACTCAGGTGGCTGAGATCTGAGGCTTGTGGTTCAAAGCCAGTCAGGGCAGAAAAGTCTGTGAGATTCTTTATCTCCAATTAACCACCAGAAAACTGGAAGTGGTGCTGTGGCTCAAGTGGTAGAGTGCTTACCATGAACTGAAGAGCTGAGGGACAGGGGCCAGGCCCAGCATTCAAGCCCCACGACTGACTGGAGGAAAAATATTAAAGGCCTGGGCTGTAGCCCTTTAACATGTTCCATGTTCACATGGATTGGATGCCATGGGGTTAATTTGTTAAACTTCTCTAAAGTGATCAACGGAACACAACAGTGAACACACAAAATAGCTAGGATTAAAGGCTTGAGCCATCGTGCCTGGCCAGATTTCTAAATTCATATCAAGTTACAGTGGAAAGGGCTTACTAGGAACAAGCATACTAATATCAAGAGATTCCAGTGGGTAACTCCTATAAAAAGGATAAAATAAAGGACTGGGAAGGTGGCTCAGTGGTAGAGTGCTTGCCTTGCATGCATGAGACTCTGGGTTTCATTCCTCAGCACCACATAAGCAGAAAAAGATGAAAGTGGCGCTGTGGCTCAAATGGTAGAGCACTAGCCTTGAGCTGAAGAGCTGAGGGACAGTGACCAGGCCCATTGTTCAGGCCCCATGACTGACAAAAAAGATAAAATAAAATTTAGAAATTAAAGAAAGGGAGAAAAGAGTGAGAAGTGAGAAAGGAGGGAAGGAAGGAAAGGTCTATAGATCTGGCAATTAAGTTGCTAGGTTGAATTGTTAACAAATATTATTAACATATATTGTTAACACATAATATTACCATATGTTAACAATTTGCTTTATTTATTTTAGATATTTTTTCCAAGAAGGAAAGTTGTTGTTGGTGGTGGTGGTGTTTTTAGTGCAGGGGAGAAGGGGGAATGCGAGGGAACAAGCCTAAGTTTTTAGAAATAAATAGGTAGCACTCAACCAACTGAGCTCTATTTCCTACCACCACCTCCAGCCAACAGAGAAAAGGTTTCTTTCCTGCCAAATTGTTCTATATATGTTGACATAGGTACTTCTTGTACATGTTTTTGGAGTTTTACTATTAGTATGTGTATCTACAAACAGTACATGGTTTTTAGACCTTTTCTCTTTTTTGTTGACAAAAAACATCTTTTAAAACATCTAATTAGATTTCTCTCCTGTGAGTTATAAACTTAGTTTTATTCCTCCAGACTTTTTCCTGTTCTTTATATTGTAAGTACATTACAAAATTGCAAAACATAAGTTGTTATACTTACTGTACATACTGTCTTAACTTGCCTTTTCCTTGTGTTTCATTTACTAATAACGTAAAAACTTTCTTTGTCATTAAAGTGTTATAGGAGTAATTGATGGTTCTTTACTGGTTTTGCATTTTTCAACTGATGGATTTTTAGATTGCTTTATGGTTTTCGTCTTTGTGGGAAAAAGCATGTGGTTTTGAACTCTGCTGAGTTCATCTTTATTCTCTTTAATACTGGAAACCAGAATTGCTAGGCCATTGAACATGGGTATGTTAAAAGTTTATTATTGTCACCATGCACCCACCAAACTGCCTTAATCTTATATTATCCATTTTGCTAATGTTTACTTTTTTCCTTCTTCTCTATAGGGTTTACTAGCATTGGGCATCAGTAAGTCTGTTCAAACACCAGATCCTACTCATCCGTAAGGATACAGTCTTTATTTTGTTTTTGTTTGTCTTGTCATTGAAATAAAAGCAGCCAAGTTTTAGAAATCTGCAATTTATATCTCTGCAGTTTGTGAAAAATCTGATACTTTTATTCCACTAAAGTATCTAAAGTGCAAAATTCACCTTTGTGTCAAAGTAAATTAAAGGTATCATTTGAAAAGGGAGTTTAAATTACTTTTATGTTAACATAGCATAGAGATCTTTTCTTCTCCATATGATAATTAGTAACAAAGTATATATTTTGATCTGAGTTCTCTCTTATTTCGATCCAAGGAAATATGTATTTCAGATTTATTCTGATGAGCTATCCACTCTAAACTTTTGATGATAGCTTTCATTTAATACATACTATTCTATTAATGCAAAGTTAGTAAACTATTAATTAGTAAATTATAAAATGAGTATACTTTTTGAATACATTATTTTGATTGGGGCACCAGTGGCTCACATGTGCAATCCTAACTAAATGGGAGGCTGAGAAGAGGAGGATCAGTTTGAGGCCAGCCTGGCCAGAAAATTCCATGAGACTTTATCTCAACAGAAGAAGCTAGACATCTCAATAGTAGAAGCTGGACAAAGTGTTGGATACCTATCATTGCATCTATGATGGGAAGCCTAAAATAAGTGGACCATGGTCCAAGGATGTTCCTGGGCAGGAAGTGCGATCTTATTTAAAAAATAACTAGTATTCCCAAACATTAGGGGCCAGAATATGACAAGGACACGTGCATATCCATGTTCATTGCCACACTATTCACAACAGCTGAGATTCGAAATAGCCCAGATGCCTCATAATAGATGAGTGGATCCAAAAAATGTGGTACCTATACACAATGGAATTTTACACAGCCATTAGGAAGATTAAATAATGTAATTTGCCAAGCACCAGAGGTTTATCCTGTGATCCTAGCTACTCAGGAGGCTGAGATCTGCGGATTGGGGTTTGAAGCCAGCCCTGGCAGCAAAGTCCCTGTGAGACTCATGTGTATGTCTCTCTGTCTCTCTCTCTGTCTCTGTCTCTGTCCCCCCCACACACACACCCTTTCTGGTTGGTTGGTTGGTTCGTTGGTTGTGGGGCTTGAACTTTGGGCCTGGGCACTGTCCCTCTGCTCTTCAGCTCAAGATGAGTGCACTACCACTTGAGCCACAGTACCACTTCCAGTTTTCTGGTGGTTAACTGGATGGTGATAAGAGTCTCACAGACTTTCCTGCCTGGGCTGGCTTTGAACTAGATCTCAACCTCCTGAGTAGCTAGGATTACAGGCGTGAGCCACTGGAGCCCTGCTTTTGTATCTCTTAATTAACCACTCCAAAATTAGAACTGGTGCTGTGGCTCAAGTGGTAGAATGTTAGCCTTGAACACAGAGAGGCTTAGGGACAGCACCTAGGCCCTGAGTTCAAGCCCCCACAACTGGCCAAAAATAAGTCATTTGAGGGAAATGGATGGAACTAGAACAAATGATACTTCAAGCCAAGCTCAGAGAGACAAATGGTGCATGTTCTCTCTGATATGCCGTAATTAGATCTAAAATGCACTGAGATATAATAAATTATACAGGATTCTAGATACTCACATACTGAACTCCAAGATGTAGAAACAGGATACCTTTTTTTTCCTTTTTTTAAGTTTTTGATGATTCTGTTTTCTTTATATATGGTACATTCAAGTGTATATCTTTGGAAGGGTTTTGGGGAAGGTATAGAACACAAAGGGAAATGGGTGAAAAAGTACAGCAGTGGAGCTCACTGGACACTGATGAAAGGGAACTATATAACTTGTGGGTGGAGAAGGGAGAGAGGGACAGGGAAAGAATGAGGGAACAGAAGACACTGTAAGAGAGGAAATGTACTCATTACCTGACTCCTGTAATTGTAATCCCTGTGCATATAACCTCTATAATAACAATAAACTGAATTAAATAACTAAATAAAAAGGAAAAAAAAACTAGTACAAAAAGCAGGCTAATAGCATGGTTTGGTGTTAGAGCACCTACCTAACTGCCAAGCCTGAGACTTGAGTTCAAACAACAGTACTACCCCCAAAAGACATTATTTTGAATCATCAAATTTCTGATACAGATACTTATTTTTGCCCTATTATGACCATCTAAAAATGTCTGAATTCTGCATGTATCATGATTTCAATTAGCTTCTTTAATAGAATTTGGTCAACCTTAAGTGTCAGAAAAAAGACATTTATTTCTGTGAAGGTATCTATCATAATGCTTCCTAAATACCTTTCCTAACTTGTAAGCAGGGTACTCCTGTTATAAGTAGTAGCATACTTTAAATGTTATAAACAAGACAGTATAGAGAACTATTTGTTTTTTAATTTACTAATTACACAAAAATAGTTTTATATACCAAAGATTTAAAATGAGAGGGTAAAAAATTTAAAAGTTGTGAAGATTTCCTAAGATTTTTTCCCCCAGTATTCTAGTTTTGCTCAATATAATTTTCTGCAAAATGGAAACATTTTCTCTTTATAGTTAGTCACTAACTTCATATGGCTGTTTAACACTGAAAATGTAGCTGTTGTGACTGAACAAATTTTAGACTATATTTACTTCTAACTAAATATAAATAGCCACATATAGCCAGTGACATTTTATGGTACAGATCTAAAAATTTTTCAATAACCAACAAATAGTTCAAAAACATCTAAAATGAAAATAATACCTCATCATTTAGATATTAACTAACTTTACCCTTTTGCCCAATACTACTTTAGGAAAAATGTTAAGAAAAATAAAAATTTTAAGATAAACTGGTAAAACATTTCACATCTAAAACCTCTGTGACAATGTTACGTCTTTGTTAAAAAAACAAATACAAGAATTTAAAAAGTAGTTAAAAGTAAGAATTCTTGTTTGATCTATATCAAACAAGACACAAACAGAATTTTGTTTGGGAATAAATGTTCCACGAATTATATTTATGGGTGAATGATTCTTTTTTTCTTAATTTTTTAATTGCATTAATGATGCACTTAAGAAAATATAAATTAATAGTTGTTTTTGACCAAAGATGCTTAGGAAAAATTGTTGAAATTTTGTTTTGGTCATTAAAATATCCAAGAAACAGTTTTAGTAATAATTTGCAGTTCCTATTTGCTAAACTATTCTGAACCAGCAATAACTTATATGGGTTTAACTGTTTACTATCCTAGGTAATATAAATCTTAGATGTGCTACACCACAGACCAAAATACTCAATTAGGAGCTGCAATAAGAGGAAATTTAAATTTTATCCTGCTCATTAAACATCTTAATGTAGTTTTTTAAAAGATTAATTTTACCAATATATGTGGAACATAGTAGAAAAATAGGTTTACTAAATCAAATTAAGCTATTCATAAAAGGGATTAAAATAGTTGGATTAAATATTTGGTTTAGTTTTATGTATTTTTAAATATCTTTCAGTTTTTCTACTTTGCTTTTCTGATTATATTTGACCTTGGCACTTACATTTTATTTAAATATGTCTGTCTTCATAGTCACAGAAATTTTTGTTTTCTTTTTCATAGACCTATTAAGCATATTATGAAAGTAACCATTTTATTGTATAAACTTATCTTCTTTTAATTTTTCAGGTATGGATTTTCAAATATGCGTTACATTTCTTCACTAATTAGTGGTGTTGGTATTTTCATGATGGGTGCAGGACTGTCTTGGTACCATGGAGTCATGGGACTTCTTCATCCTCAACCTATGGAATCACTTCTATGGGTGATCCTCTTGTTTTTTTTTTTTTCCCCCCTGAGTTTTGATATGACAATGTGTGCAATATTGGTACTAGAGAACGAGAAATATGCTTTCCTGACTGCAGTATAGGGTTGTATATTTGTAGTTACTCTTTTTTAGAGCGTAACTTGACAGGACCTCTTGATCCATGTAATGGGATGTAGGACGATCCATGTGATGTAAGAAGAGCTCTATGAGTGCAATTCTTAAGCACAACCTACTTAATTCAAATGTTGCATAGTCTTAAATTTTCTTCAGTTTACTTTTGGAGAACAGAAGGACTTTTGTGCCAGGTGCCAGTGGCTTACGCCTATAATCCTAGCTACTCAGGAGGCTGAGATCTGAGGATAACAGTTAGAAGCCATCTGAGCAGAAAAATCCATGAGAAGCTTATCTTCAGTTAATCATGGAACAAGCAGAAGTAGACCTGAGGCTCCTTCAGCAAAAAGAGTTCAAGGACAATGTCCAGGCCCAGAGTTTTATCACCAGGATTGGCCAAAAAAAAAAAAAAGGACCTCTGTTCAATTTTAATTTCCAAAAGTAGTCTTATTTCAGTAAGTATAGTATCCAGTCCCATGTTATTAATCTACTTTGGAACCACATTTAAAGTGAAAACTGTCTCTCATCTGAGGCCTCCTTTATATAGGAAGCCTGCACTGGGGGAGTGGGAATAGGGGTGAATGCTCCTCTTCTGTTTTCTTCTGTCTAAGACTTACAACTTTCTACCTTTGTGGGCAGTATCCAAGGTTTGGATAGGAGGGAAAAAATACTAATTCACAGTGTTACTTTGCATTGGTTTCTATTGCCTTTTCAGATATTTGAAGCTGTTTTTTCCTTTCATGGGCACTCTTGAAGATTGCACTGCTTAATTGCTCTGATTAGGTCCTTTGACAAGCACAAATTTGTTTATAGTACCTCCTGTCAGCTTCTGCATCTCAGGCACATTTGAAATTGCCCTGCATTTGGCAAGAATGCTTTTTTTGGACAGTTGATTTCTTTTCAGAAGAGTTCCCATTCAAGACTCCATGTCTGGGTCTTGTGTCCCCAAACACAATAATCATCTACTTTGCTGACACAGCCAACATCAGTGGCATTTCCTGAAGATTCATTGGTCACTTGTGCCTCCGCTCTATTTCTGAGCAGTTTTGATAGAGTCCACCAAAGAGATATTTACTTTGGACTACCTTGACTTCTGCCTTCTCTTAAATGTTCTCATGAGTGTAGTGCTAGGGTGTGGTTTAATTGATAGAGGTGCCAGGATGGGGGCATCTTCATTGGGAATCTTTAACAGCTACCATAATGGGTCATTTTGGAATGTGGGGATACTTGTATTTTTTTCTTATTTTTTATTAATACAAAAGAATTGGTCTAATTTTAACATCCTGTTATGTAACTATATAATATCAAGCCTATTAAACTAGGTTTATTTGCTTTTTGGGGAATTTATTTTTGAGACAAGTCTCACTATATGGCCCAGACTGGACTCAAAACCCTCATGCCTCAGCCTCGTGAGTGCTGGTATCATACCCATGTGTCACCACACCCGGCTTTTATTTCTGTTTTAAGTCCAGGCTTACCTTGAACTACTGTCTTCTTTCAGACTCTCAAGTGCTGGGAATTTAAAGCATGCCACACAGCTGTTGGTCTATTAGTTTGCTATAGTTTTCATTGTCCAGTTTCATACTATATGTTTCATATAATTAAAACAAACTGCTCTGTATATTCTGAAAAGGTTCAGCTCCTTTATAGTTCTAGCACTCATCTAATTTTTATATTGCATTACAGAGGCAGGCAGAAGAGTCCCTGAAGTTAGATTAAGAGAGTTCAGGTTTTAATCATGTATAAGTTTTAAAACTCTAAAGAGCTCTTGTGTCACTATATATACTCTTGATTACTTTTCTGAATCTGGATTCTCTTGGTACTAGAAATCCAAATTCAGAAGTTACATGAGTATGGATGTGCGTCATCACTTTATCTAGTGACCATAACCACAGATTCCAAATTTTTCTGCTCATATCTCATGGTCTTCATTTGAACACTTTCCAATTAATCTTTATTTTGTAGGATTTGGACTTAGATTTATGTTTCTGTCTTAGATATTAACAACCTATGTATAAGCAGTTTTGATTCTTTAGTAAAATACTTTTCTCATGCTTTATTTGATGTTTATTTTCTAGGCTTATTGTATATTAGCAGGGTCATTGGTATCTGAAGGAGGTATGTACTGCCACAAAGTCTCTCCTTATTCTCAATTTAGTGCTGTATATTCAGTTACCCATTAATTAGAGTTTGCTAACTTATGTTTTTTTTTTAAAAAAAAAGCAAAACTGTGGAGCAGCTGGGCACATATGGTAGTGCATGCCTGTAATTCTAGCACTCAGGAGGTAGAGGCAATTGGACTGAATTTGGGGGTCAGTGTAGGCTAGAGTATATAGTGAGAGTCAGCAAACCAAAAAATGAAAAGGAAAGGCAAAAAGAAAAAAGAAGGAAGTTGAGAGAGAGAGGAAAGGCTTTCTGTTTAAGGAGGAAAGGCTTTGTATAAGGTACTGTGCCAGATGAGGACAAGCGAAAAGGCGTATTTGTTCTTGAGTATCATAATGCTAAGAACACTGGAAATAGAACATAAAAGCATAATTAAATTGAGTTTTAAAATGTCTGGTTTTCAAAAGAAGGCTATTTCTGTTTGCATTAGGAGTATTTCAAAGTTTCTGGAATATATAGTTATAGCAATATTATGTTGTAAATGCTGATATTAATATGAAACTGCCTGATTCATTGTTGCATATATAGTCTTTGTACCCTGAAACATTGCTGTTTTCTATGCATGGTATTCCTTTCTTTATTTAAAAATTTTTAATATAATTTTTAAATCAACAAATTGTAATTATGTGTATTTATGGAGTCCTTCATCTTTGATAGACTAAAATAGTAGTAACCCTACCTCATCAAAAGATTAGGAAGGTCAAAATGTGGGGTTTAGTGAGTTGCCTGCCTAATAGTGCTGCTTAATAAGTTAAGACTTACTCATTTTATTAAATGATTAATTAGCAACTAATATAGAACTTTTCCTTATACCAACCCTGGCATTAAAGTGTTAAGCTTATTTATTTATGTTTTTGATAGGCCACCTTTATAGTTTGAATGCATGAAGTTTTTCCCTTGCTGATACAATCTTTTTCTTTCAGCAACACTTCTTGTTGCAGTAAATGAACTTCGTAGGAGTGCTCAGGCCAAAGGACTGTCATTTTATAAGTATGGTATGTATTTTAGAAGCCACATACTAATTTTTCTTATGTGCTTAAAATGTTCTAGTGCTATTGCTTTGTTATTAACAGATGAGAGGAAAGTATATCTCATAGTCTTCCCCCATATGGGTCTAATAAATCAACCTCTTTAAAAAAAGAAATGTAGTGCACTTGGGCTTATAGATAGCTGATATTTGACTTTGACTTATGTAAACTACTGAGTTTCTACATATCAGTAATTTGGGTTTCTTTATCAGTTAGTGTTAACATTTGATAAAAAATTATATCAAAGAGTTAAATATGATGTTTTATTTTTGTCCTATAGTTTGGTTTTATATATTTATTAAAATATCTTGTAGTATCAAGTTTTCAGAAATTTTTTTTTTATCTCTTCCCCAATAATTAAGTAATGGAGAGTCGAGATCCTAGTACAAATGTTGTGTTACTGGAGGACACTGCAGCGGTCTTGGGAGTGATAATAGCAGCTTCTTGCATGGGCCTTACTTCTGTAACAGGTAATTATTTCTTAACCTGTAGATGATTTGTTTGTACCTATTAGTTCTCTAGTTTTTGTCTTTGGTTATTAAATAAGCTTAACTATTAATTCCAAAAGTGTTCATATTACTCTGAATTAGAAATTTATCTAGACTTAACAAAGGTATTAGTAAAGTAATTCCGTAATACTCTATGCTTTTCTCACTATGTCTTAAAATTTGCAGTTTTGAACTTGTAAAGTTTTTACTTATAGTAGTATGGATTATATTTATCCTACTAACTTCATACATTTATTAAGATAATATGAGAGAACTTTAATGGGCTTTAATGAGTAAACTTTAATAGAACTTTTTAGTGAAACCTTGTCTCAAAAAGCACCCATCACTTTCCTCTAAAAAAGAAAAGAAAAAAAGAAGTCAAGTATACTGTTGATAACAAATATGATAGTGATATGTCTGAAAGAAATTGATTTTTCTATTATACCATTAATATGTATGTGATACACCTAATCTGAAAATGTTCTAATCCTTATCTATGTAACCAGAGAGAAGAATTAAGTTGCATAACAAACTTATATGATGGAAAGCAAGTTGTATTCATCTCCATTTTCTAGTATAGTAAATCTATTTAGAGTCATTAAAGACAGTAAATGAATTGGGAATGTACCTCAAGTCTCTTGTTTTCTAAAGTTCAAGTTCTGATTGTTTTCTAAAACTCATTGAAATAACAGAAAATGTTAATTCACTGATTTCCCGGTGTGCTTTTTTTTAGGCAATCCACTGTATGACAGCCTAGGTTCTTTGGGTGTGGGTACCTTACTAGGCGTGGTCTCAGCGTTCCTCATCTACACTAACACAGAAGCACTTTTGGGACGATCCATCCAACCAGAACAAGTACAGCGGCTTACTGAATTCCTGGAGAATGACCCATCAGTGAGGTCAGTCTTAACTCCAGTGATGCTTGAAAAGTTTCTAGCCATTGAAACTCTATTATGTTTCGAAATTCCCATCTTGAAAGAAACCAAGTAAATTTAGAAACTCTTTATTAGGTTCCTTTTAAATTTTGTATAACTTTTATAAGACATAGCCAAATGCTATACGCAGTTGGCTATTTAAGATGGAATCATTTAATATTGAATCTATTTCCCTTCTATTTGTCTCACAATTGGGAATTAATAAAACATAAAAGAATTATTTGTGGAGAAATTATTACAAAGTGAATGTAATTTACATATTTTTGAAAATAGATTGGTGTGTGTGTGTGTGTGTGTGTGTGTGTGTGTGAGAGTGTGTGAGAGAGAGAGAGAGAGAAAGAAAGAATGTGCATGCATGTGAGTGCACATAACCAATTCTGGGGCTTGAATTCAGCACCCAGGTGCTGTCCCTGTGACTTTTGCTCAAGGCTAGCACTACCACTTGAGCTATAGTTCCATTTCAGGCTTTTATGTTGTTAATTAGAGGTAAGAGTCTCACAGTCTTTCCTACCCTGCCTGGTTTCAAACTATGATTATCAGATCTCAGCCCCTCCTGAGTAGCTAGGTTTACAAGCGTGAGCCACTGGTTCCTAACCTAATTTACCTAATTTTTTGATGTTCATATGTTCACAGTATTGCTTTGTTTTGATCCCTGTGTATGTGTGTGTGTGTTATTTGTGTATATGCATACATTCACACCAGTTCTGGGACTTGAAGTTAGGGTCTTGCTTGCCTTTTTTGCTTAACTCCACCACTTGAGCCACACCCTACTTCTGGCCTTCAGATGTTTAATTGGTGATAACCATCTCAGGTATTTTTCTGCCCAGGTTGTCTTGGAACTGAAGATCCACATATCTTTAATACCTGAGTATTCTCTGTGACCAGCCACGGGACAAATACTTTGTCTTTCTCTTTTTTTTCTTTTCTTTTTTTTGGTCATCATGGGTCTTGAACTCAGGGACTGGACACTGTCCCTGAGCTTTTTCTGCTTAAGGCTATTGCTATACCACTTTGAGCCACATTGCCACTTCCAAGGACAAATATTTTAACAGTACTTGGAGTCTCACTTAAACTTTCAGGATTCAATGTTTTATTTCTTCTCATATTTAAGGAAAAATGTTATGTTGGTCATCATAGGAAAGACGAATTTCTCAGCAGTTTTCTGGGGAAGATTTTACTCTTGGACTAAGCAGTAGGGGCAAAAAGCAGGTATATTTGAGCATCTGTCTTTCTTTCTGGGAAGCAGATAATAGAAAAGATTCCCAGAGTTGGGTGTCTGAAGACCTAGGGTGGGAGTAGGGTTAGGGTATCTGTGTATAGCTGAACTACCTTGAGCAAATCACTCATTCTCCCTTATCATCTTATCATCTGTAAAATATATTACAAAAGCCCTCATTAAATATCTACTTTATAGTAGGTTATAATATTAAGCATATTACGTATGTTCATTAGTCCTCTCATCAATCCTATGTGCTAGTTGTAAGAGCGTTTCACAGTTGTATGAAAATTTTAGGAGCTAGTAAATATTTATGTTGTCAGAGTACTTGCCTGGTAGGCAGGAAACTCTGGGTTTGATCCTAAGCACTGAAGTGAAAAAAAGTGATTTTAGTATGTTGTTGGCAGTAGTGCTGTAGAGTATACTAATCACAAATTTTGTTGTTGTTGTATTTAGTAGTATTTAGAAATAGTATTTAGAAAGTTTTAATAGTATTAGAAAATTGATTAGTAGCTGTATGAAGGGAAGGTTTATGAGAGAACATGAAACATTTTTTAATCAAAATCTGAGTTGCTGTCTTTTTTCTCTATGTGCCATTATAACTCATATGTATACATCACCATATTTGGTAAACTTATAGTTTTATATGGCATTATGCACAAAAACCTAAATGGACAGGGAACCTTTGGCACTTACTGGTACTTATGATGCTTTCACCATCATAGTCCATATTCAATACTGGTGGGGGAAAAAATTCTAGACCCTGTGCATTAGAGAACATATGTGTGTGTGTATATATATATATATATATGTACATATAACTTTTATATGCATTGTTACTGATTGCAGGGCAATCCATGATGTTAAAGCCACAGATATGGGATTAGGCAAAGTAAGATTTAAGGCAGAAGTTGATTTTGATGGACGAGTTGTTACAAGATCCTATTTGGAGAAACAAGATTTTGACCAATTGCTACAAGTAAGTTTGTGTATTTACATTTCCTTCTGTAGGCAGTGGCTAGGCATGCTCAAGTTGTAAAGTCTATGCAAATATTCTAAAACCTAAATTCCATTGCCAATGGCCTAATGTTTTTTATTTTCTGTTAAACTTAATGATGGTTTAAATTTTTGAAGAAATTGTCAATGTACCACTGTGATTTTTCAAAATTTTATTTAATTTTTCTGCTTTCATTCTTCTTCATAGGAAATTCAAGAAGTGAAAACTCCTGAAGAACTAGAGACTTTTATGCTTAAACATGGAGAAAATATTATTGATACTTTAGGAGCTGAAGTGGATAGACTTGAGAAGGAATTGAAGGTAAGATACATTCCTAATAATGTAGTGATAAAGGCAACTGTTTTTGGAATGCTTCATTTGTTTTAGTCACTGTGCTAATGTATCGCATGCATACATACTCACATACTCTTAGTACCCCCTAAGTAAACAAACAAACAAAAGACTGGATTGGGAGGTTAAATAATAGTGAATTCGGGAATCATGGTTTGAATTTGTTCAGTTCTAAATTCTATACTTTGTGTGTGTGTGTGCCAATCCTGGGGCTTGAACTCAGGCTGTCCCTGAACTTGTTTTGTTCAAGGCTAGCAACCTACCACTTGAGCCTCACAGCTCCACTTCTGGAGGGTTTTTTGGTAGCTTAGTGGAGATTAAGAGCCTCACAGACTTTCCTACCTGGACTGGCTTAGAACTACAACCCTTAGATCTTACCCTCACTCAAGCTCAGATTACAGGCATTAACCACAAGCGCCCAGCTAAATTATCAGTTTATCTGCTTAGTTTCTAAAAGTTAAAGGTTTATGTTTTTAATAAGTATTTTGAAGTATAAATAAGTATTCAAGTAAAGGTAACTAGACAACAGCCAAAAGTTATAACTAGAATGTGATAGTACACTTGACATTATTTTATATTTTACTTCTGTTTTTTTAATACAATTTTATTGCGATTATTAAGGTGTTGTCTAGATGGGTTACCATGTCATAAGTCAGGTATTAGGAACATTTCTTTTTTCAATAATGTCACCTCTTCCTTCACTTTCCCCCAGTTTCTGCCTCCCATCATTTTCCACATAGTGTAACTGAATGTCATGACTGTATTTGATCACCCATAATCCTTCCTTTCTGTGTCCCCTCCTTCCCTGCACAAACACAAAACACCATCACAACTACTACTGACAACAACAAAATTCCATTTTCTGGAATTCATTTTGATAAATAGTATTTTAAATGTTTATTTTTTATTCAATTAGATATTGCTGCAACTTAATGCTACTGACATATTAATGATGAAATTGCCTGAAAAATGTCTGATTGTTCTCAAATTGCTGTTTAATGACTTTTAAGTTTGCTTTGTTTACAATGCGTAAAAACTTGTAAATGTTCTTTAACATAATCTGTTAAGAGCAGTATATTTTTCTTTTGCAGATATTGATCATTCTTTAATTTGTTAAGAATTGAAGAGATACAAGAATGGAACTAATTCTATGATTTCTTTAAGAATCTAGACATCTGGTCAATTAATAGAAGTACTTCAAATAACATGATTTTGCTCATGTTGATATTACAGTTCAAAAACTTTCTTTTTATAATTCATAATGAAAATTAACAAATGAGTGCAAAATTGTAAAATACCTTATTTTTGGAAACCCTCCAGTCTAAATTTTTTTTTCATATCATTGTAGAGGTAGACCCTTCTGTCACTCCATGAAGGTTTTTGTATTTGAAATGAAATAATTCTATTGGAAATTAATTCAGTGGAAGACTGTCATAACATTCACAAATTCCTTACAAGTAATGCTTACAGATAAAAGACCTGCTCTGTAGTTTTGATTCTATGGTCACATCTTCCTAATCACATCTTCTTAATTTCAGTTTATAGCATTGCAAAGTCATATCATTTGTTTTTTAATCTCTGCATACGTATTGGAATAAAAACTTCTTGTGGTAGGTGGAATAGTCCAGTTTGCAGGATATCAGACATAATATGTCCAAAAATATTTGTTGAATAACTTATTGAAAATTGGGTACAAATTACTGATTTTTCTGTTTTGTGTAACAAAAACCAGTTTCAACTATGGCCATTATATCTTGTTAGCTAGTAAGCATAGAGTTTTTTTAATTTACTTTTTAAACTAGTATCAATTAGTTGTACAGAGGGGTTTCATGTTGGCATGTTCATATATGCATATCGTGAGTGTGTCTTGGTCACACTCACCCTTCTGTCATTCACCAGCATCTCCCTTAGCTGTTTCCCAAACCAGTCTCAGCAGGCTTCATTGTTCCATTTTTTACAGATGTACATAAGATATTTTGACCAAATTCACACTCTCTCCTCCACTTAGTTTTTATTTTCTCCCTTACCACAAGTATTTCTACCCTTCACAAGACCCATTTTATGTTCTTGTTACTTATTTTTTTAAGTATATGCTAATTGTTGAAAGGAGATTCACAATATTTTTTCATACATGCTTACTCTCATTTGATCTTCCCTAACCTTTCTATTCAACAGCTTTCAATGAGTTTTATTATATCATTTTACAAAATGCAGTACACTTTATATTCAAACATTGAATTTTAAGGACATTAATCCAATTCATTTAATTCATTCAGCAAATATGTGGTATACTTTGCATTATGCACATATATTTTACAAATCTGACTAGAGTTCTCTCTGAAATTTTGATTTAAAAAATCAGAAAAGCAGGGTACCAAGAAGTGGCTAATGTCTGTAATCCTAGCTGTTAAGGAGACTGAGATTGGAGGATCATGATTCAAAACCAACCTGGGCAGAAACGTCCTGAGACTCCAGTTCTAATTAACCAGCAAAATACTGGACGTTGAAGGTGTAGCTTAGGTGGTAGGGTACCACGCTGAGCAAGAAAAAAATGGTACTAGAACTAAACAAAACTAGAAGAGCAAAAGAGCCAAGCTCTGTGGCTCATACCTGTAATACCAACTATTTAACAGGTAGAGTTTAGAAGGGTTATGGTTTGAATCTAGTCCTGAAAAAACAAGAGACCCTTTCTGAAAAATAGCCAAAGAAAGCTAAAAGGGCTTGAGACATGGCTTAAGTGGTAGACCAGGCACAAGGCCCTGAGCTTGAAACCCAGTACCCACCCACACCCCCCAAAAAATAAATTAACTTTTTTTTTAATTGTGAAAATACTGTACAGAGGAGTTACAATTACACGGGCAAGGTAATGAGTATATTTCTTATCAAGCATTGTTGCCTCTTTGTTTCCCCTCTTCCTATCCCCTCCCCCCCCCTGCCCCCGCTGCCGGCCAAAGTTGTAAAGTTTGTTGCAATGGGTCCACCTGTATCCCTATTTAAACGATTTGTTTTTTCCCTTCCCCTGCACAAATTATACCAACATCAAATACAGGATTTTATTAAGACTTTTTCATTCATATATTCAATGTACTTAATGTTTTCTGCCTCCAACTGCCTTTTTCCCTTCCTACCTCCCTCTGGTTCTTCCTCCAAATAGTTTCCTCTCCACATTTTAAAAAGAGTGTATTAATTATATAATGGAGGTGTTTCATCGTGCTTTTTCTATACCAAAAGCTATCCCTTTTATGTCCATGGCTACTTTTTCTTGGGGGGGGGGTCAGTTGTGGGGCCTGAACTCTGGGCATGGGCACTGTCCCTCAGCTCTTTAGCTCAAGGCTAGTGTACTACCACTTGAGCCACAGCGCCATTCCAGCTTTTTCTGCTTATGTGGTGCTGAGGAATTGAACCTAGGGCCTCATGCATGCAAAGCAAGCAAGCACTGTAACACTGAGCACCTTCCCAGCCCTCTTCTTTCTTTCTTTAGATCTTGAGTCCACATATACATGAAAATATACAGTATTTATCTTAGTCTGGCTTATTTCACGTAACATGGTGTTCATCCATTTTCCTATAAATGACATATCATTTTTATTTATGGCTTTATAAGACTCCATTGTGTGCATATGTGTTTATATACACATGTTTAGGTTTTTTTGTCATTGTTCTTGTTTTTTGCCAGTTCTGGAGCTTGAACTCAAGGCCTGGGCACTTACTGTCCCTGAGCTTCTTTTGCTCAAGGTTGGCACTCTACCACATGAGCCATAGTGCCACTTCCAGCTTTTTCTGTTTCTGTGGTACTGATGAACCGAACCCAGGGCTTCATGCATGTTAAGCAAGCACTCTACCACTAAGCTACATTCCCAGCCTTTGTATATATTTTTATTCATTTATCTGTTGATGGACATCTAGGCTGATTCCATAATTTGGCTATTATAAATAGTGCTACAGTAACAGTGTGCAGTTATCTCTGTTGTATTCTGACTTACATTTTTTCAAGTACATGCACAAGAGTAGTGTAAGCAGGATCATACGGTAGTTGTCACTTGTTTTTTTCAGAACCTCTATACTGATTTCCAGAGTGGCTGCACTAGGTTACAGACCCATCAACAGTGTATGAGTGTTCTTTCTTCCCCTGTTGTTGCTAATGTTTTTTGTTTGTTTGTTTGTTTTTCTGGGTGAGGGCGTCGGTTGAGGGGTTTGAACTCACAGCCTGGGCTCTGTTCCTCAGCTTTTGCTGAAAGCTAGCGTGTTACAGTCCCCACTCTGGTTTCCTGTTGGTTAATTGGAGATAAGTCTCTTAGCCTTTCCTGCATGGGCTGGCTTTGAACAGCAGTCTTCAGATCTCAGCCTCCTGAGTAGCCAGGATTACAGACATGAGCCACCAGCGCTGGCTCAGCTGCTAGTGTTCTTGATGATAGCCATCTCTCTGGGTTGATGAGAAATTTTAATATTGTTTTGATTTGCATTTTCCTATGGTTAAGAACATGGAACACCTCTTTATGTGTTTATTTGTACTAATTTTGAAAAATGTTCACATTTCCCCACTTATTAATTGGATTATTCTTTTGTTGTTTAGTTTTGGGAGATTTTACAGTATTCTGAATATCACTTCCTTATCAGCTCAAGAGCTGATAAAATTTTTCTCCCATTCTGTGGACTTTCTCTTTACTACAGTAATCACTCCATTGATTGTTTATTGTTCTTTTAGTCTCCATTTTATGGGCTGAATCTATATTATTTTTTTCTGTCTACTAGTTTTGGATTTAGGTGTGTCACATTCTTATTTTTCATTAGGGCATTTATTTAAGATCTGTTTTGTTTTTTAGTGTAGGTACTCGTAAACTTTATTTTTAGAATGGTCTTTGCTGCATCCCACAGGTTCTGATGTTACATTTTCATTTTCATTTGTCTAAGAATTTTAGATTTTCTCCCTTATTTCTTCAGTGACCCACTGATCAATCAAGAGCACATTGCTCCGTTTCCATATGTTTGTGTAGGTTCCATACTTTTTCTTGTGATTGAAGTTTGGTTTTATTCTGATAAGATGTAAGAAGTCATTTCTGTTTTCTTACACTTTTTTATGGCCTTGAATGTGATTTATTTTGGAGAAAGTTACATGAAACTGCTGAAAAGAATATGTATTCTCTATCTTTTGGATGGAATATTCTATAGATACTTTCTAAGTCCACTTGCTCAATGGTACAGTTGAACTCCAAATTATTATTGTTTTTTTTGTCTAAATATTCTGTGTATTGATGAGAGTTGGGGTGAAGGCACCTGCTATTGTTACTAGACCTGTCACTTCATTTCCAACAGTATTTGTTTTCTAAAATTGGGTACACCAATGTTTAGTATATACAAATTCACAACTGTTTTATTTTCTTGATGGGTTATACTCTTTATTAATAAATTATGACCTTATCTGTTCTAATTTTGGCTTGAAGTCTACTTTGCTAAATATAAGTATAGCTACTCCTGCTTGCTTTCAGTTTCTACTTGCTTGGTATGTCATTTTCCATCTTTTCACTCTGTATCTTTGCCAATGAATTTGTCTCTTGCAGAAAAACTATAGTTGGGTCTTTTTAATCCAGTCATCCCATCTGCATCTGGGGGAATCAAGGTCATTATTCTTAGGGTTATTAGGGTTATTATTGAGAGCTACTTACTGGTTTTATTTTTACTTTAGTTTATTTCTAACTTTTTCTGGTGGATTCAAGTTCTTTTTTTAAAATCCTCCCTCATTTTCTGTTCTCTTCTTTCATAGAGGAGCTTCCTGGTTTACTAAGTTGAACAGGTTGATTTTTTTTCCTTCTTATTTATCTATTTCTCTTCTGATTTTTTTTTCTGAACTGTTATATTTTTGACTCTCTTTCTCATCCGTGTGTAGGGTTCTTTCAAGTATCTTCTGCAGTGCTTTCTTAGTGGTCATGAATTGCTTTAGTTTGTGCAATTTTAAGGGATAACTTTGCTAACTTGGCTAAATCTCAGTCAGCAGTTATTTACTACCTCCAAACCCTGAACTATGTCATTGTATGCTTTCCTAGCTTATAGGGTTTCTATTTTGAGGTCTGATGTAATTCTGATGGGTTTGGCTTTATAAATAAGTTAGTGGTTTTCTTTTGCCACCTTTGGTATTCTTCCTTTGTTCCGTACTTTTAGTATTTTGGCTGTACTATAATGTAGAGTCTTTTCTAATTATGTCTATTTAGGGCTCTATATGCCTCCTGTATTTGGATTTCTTGTTTTTCCTTGGAGTTGTAAATTTTTCTGCTACAAGTTTCTTTGGTTAGTTGGTTAGTTGGTTGGTTGGCTGGTTACTGGGGATTGAACATGGAGCCTTGTACATGCTAAACAAGTGCTCTACTACTTGAGCTGTTCTCTGAACCCTGTCTTTTCCTTGAATTGGTTTCCTATGCATATAGTCCCTTAAGGTTGAGTCTTATTTAATAATTGTAACTTTGTAGCACAGTGACTTCCCCAAGACTATATGAATTTTTACTAAAATATGTCCAAGGGTTAGGAATTTTTATTTTGGATTAGTATTGTTTTGCAGACATTTTCATTTCAAAAAAGTTTATTTCCAGTGTTTTCCAGTGATTAGCATGTATTAGTTTCTTAAAGCAGTTTTATTTTATTTATTTTTTTGGCAGTAATGAGGCTTAACTCTGCCTAGTGCTTGCTAGGCAGCCCTCTATCACTTGAACCAATCCTGTCTCCTAAACATTTTTGTATGACATAACTCAGGGAGTGAGCTGTGTACTGTACTGTTTAGAGAATTCCTGTTCACCTACTGATCGATTTTTCATTAGCACATATGTCTCTAGCTACTGTGCAATAGTGAAATGGTTTAACCATATGTTTTTAGTGGCTCTAATGATTAAAAGAAATTTTAAAAAAGGGCAAGATTTTGTTTTGTTCTGTATGAATAATATGGGATTTTTTTTTCTTCTAGAAACGAAATCCTGAAATTCGTCATGTAGATTTGGAGATACTATGAATTACCTCGGTGGGCTCTAGAGACAAATTTATTGAGCCACTTCTACTTTTCACACTGAAGGAGAGTCAGCACCGTTTGGAAGTCTTTTTTTCTTTTTTCTTTTGTTTTCAAGATGGAGGAAGTATTTTACATAAAGAGCAGTTGAATAGGCCACAGAGCTAAAACTCTTCTAATCATGTTTCTGTGCTTCAATAGAGAACATTTTGGTTACTTAAATTGCTCACAATGTCTTATTTTAACAAGTGTGTATTCTAACTTGCAATCATGCTTCTTTTCTTCATATTGGTAGAAGTACTTGTCATCCACAGGATAACAACATTGAAATTTTGTTTCTACTAAATATTTCATTCTGTCAGGCTTTGCCACTAATCTTGAATATTCTGGCTAAATTTGGTATGTGGTTTTTAAATCGTCAATGTGTTTTTTAGGTCTGTCCTTCTATATCCAGTGTGGAAATTACTTCTACCTACTTCGTGACTTTGACCTGATCACTGAGAGTTGTACTCTCCTATCCAAATATTCATTCCAGAAATGACTTAGTTACTGAATTGAATGAAGACGTTTCATTATTCTCTTTTGGTGTGGATCATAATAGGTACCATTGTGTAAATTTTTGCCTCTTTTTTTTCCTTATATGGTTTATTTTTCTAATGGTAAGAGACATAAAGTAACCCTGTACATTTCTGTGGGTCAGTGCAATGACTGACTTCTTCCCTCTCTCCCTCCCTCCCTCCCTTCCTCCCGGCTTCATTACTATAATGTTTATTTACTAGGAGATAAGCATTTATAAACCTTTTAACCTTCTGTAAGATGGACTAGAAATATTTATAATTTTGCAGGCAGCAGCATTTTAATTTATTTGAGAGGAGGCACTACTTATGTAAATCTGAACCATGGGATATTTCTTTTTGTGAGAGGAAAGTAAATCTCTTACACTGAAACTTGTGTTGTGATTTTGTATAATGTCATAGTCAATTGTGTGTTTATGAGTTTCTTGTAGTTATAAATGGGCATTTAGCATAACACGTTTGCTATTACATATTATGTAAATAGCTTTGTAATGACTATAAGGCATCAAAGTGAAAAAAATTCAATTAAATAATTTAAAAATTTAGTGGAAAACTGCAGCTGTCTCTGTTAAAACTCATATGCACTTTACAGTGTCCTACAGCAGTGAGCATTGCTTCTGCAGAGTGGTGGTGGCCATTGTCTCTGCTGGATGCACCTGATGCTCACCAAGGAGCTCAGTGTCTTCCACTGATGATACGGAAGTTTGTGAATTAATGGCCAGTTGTAATGCTAGAAACAAAAAAAATAAATAGTTGTTTGAAGGGTTTGCTATGGTCATTTTTGATCTAATGATGTAAAATTTATATTGTACTTTTTTTTTTTTAACCTATAGAAAAGCTTTGCTACTGAACTGTTTTGTGTTTTGAGACAGGATCTTAAAAAGGTGCCCAGGCTGGTATAGAACTCACTATTCAGTCGAAGATTTAAACTCGCAATTCTCCTTGCCGGTTTTACATTTTAAGTGAAGTAACATTCCAGTTTTATTTTTTAAGATATAAAAGTGTTGGACTATGCTGGGTGGTTTTGGATCACTCCTGTAAGCCTAACTGTTCAGGATACTTAGTTCTAAGGATCACAATTCCATGCTAGCCTAGGCAGAAAAGTCCATAAGACTCTTACCTCAACCACCAAAAATGAAAAGTTGGAAGTAGAGCTGTGGTTCATGTGGTAGAGCGCTAGCCTTGAGAAGAAAAAGAAAAGCTCAAGGACAGCACCCAAGATCAGAATTCAAGCCCCAGGACCAATCAAAACACAAATAAATAAAAAAAGAAAAACAATAACAATAAAAAAAACCTTTGTAAAAAAAAAAAAAAAAAAAAAAATTCGGGGAAGGGAGGGAGGGAGGGGATGGTAGGGGGAAAACAATGGAGGGGCTAACAATGTTCAAGAGGAAGTGTACTCATTACCTCACTCATGTAACTGTCACTCATGTAACTGTAACCCTCTGTATAGTATCTTTACAATAAAAAAAAAAAAAAAAAAAAAAAACCTTTGTAACTGATGTCCTGAATCACAGTATGGATCCCACCGTTTCCTTCTCTCTCCATACCACTGGCAACCTGCTACTGCATATGTGGTAACGTGGGACAGCTAGCTCAAATTATATCCAGCGCCCCCTAAGTGAAATGACTCGTCAAAATTCTGGATAAGAACAACTGATTTATTTTTTAAGACCTAAAAATTGGTGTGGAGACATTCTTCTAAATTCTTAAAATTATTCCTCCCCAAATGGCCAATTCCTCATATTTTTTTTGAATTTTCTAATCTTACTTTCATTGAAATCATACCTATTTTAAATAATAATTGAAATTTCTTTGTTGCTGTCTTCTAATTCTGTTTCTGTGCTGATACTTTAAAGTATGTTTATTTTAATTTGGCATAAAGGAGTATATCTAGAAAATAAAAAATATATATTGTTTTTTACATAGTATTAGGAATTGAATTCAAGACCTCATGTTTGTTCTGTGTATGCTCTACCACATGAACCAGGCCATTAGTCCTATAGTTTTTAGCTTTAATATTTTTAAAGGAAAATATTTGTTGGAAAATAATTACAAAATAAATGCTGGAAAGAAAGGAGGACCAGTTAAGGATTACCCCTACTTACCTACCCTAAGTTAAAATCCTAAAATCTGGTAACTATCAAAAGTGTGACATACCTATGTTTAGCTTTGGCTGAGAATTAGACACAGCAGCCCCAAACTATAGACGATGGCCCATCTTTTGACTATGGCATTGAAAGAATAAGAATTAATGAAACCACATGATGGCATCCAGTCCCCTGAACATATACTGAGAAACCTGGGAGAATCATACTGGAACATTATTTCAAATTTCTCCAGAGATAATCTGTGCCACATCTCCCAAACACTCATATACCCAAATCACCCAAAATATCAAACTATCCTAAGACTCAAGACTTTGGCATATAGTTTTAAATATTGCCTTAATTACCTCATAATTTGAATAATGCTTATACTAAAATCATACCATTAAATTTAACATTGAATACTTTTTTGCAGTAGAATGCTGGGAACTACAGAAAATTGCACAGGCATTTGGAACTTATATTATCTTCTTAGATTGCATTTGTCAAGCATTGGCAGCATTTCTTTTAAATGTGTTGACCCCCAATTTGCCAAACTGTCCAAAGTCAGTGGAGCAAAGAATTGAAGGTAAAATGATGATTCAAAGATTGTCTCCCACAGGCCCTCATCTTGTGTCTGAAATGGAACTTTGGAAGGCATTTATATTGGAGATTGGTCTGACAGCCTTTATATTTGCATTTTATACTGGCATCCCTAGACTTTATGAAAAAAGAGAATTTTCATTTCTATTACATTGTGTTTCACTGGCAAGTCAAGATGGCTCTGGTCCCTCAGGATGCTTTTTCCCTTAATAGCTGTCATATCTACATAAGAGTAACTCATTTAATTTGGGATTTTCCCCTCTTGAGTTAATGTTTTTTGAACATATATTTTCTTTAGCAACTGTACTAAAGATGAAACTGTATTTTGATACATTTTACCTTAAAGAATCATGCCTATATTTTTAAATAGAATTAGTCATACATGTGGTATGCTTGTTCTTTGTAAGGTTTTCTTGGTTTTACCAAAACAAATTGTAGTAATTAATATATTGTCAGAATATTACATGTTTGGTTAAATGCAACTCTAAAAGGCTATATACCTCAGAGATGTATTTTTTGTATGATTTGACAAAACTACTTACCATTATGTGCGTGTATATGTATGTATGTGTGTTGCTAGAGATTGAACCCAGCCTCCACCGCAATTCAAGTTGAATTTTATACTAAACTCCTAGGAATTACAATTTCTTCTCATGAAAATCTAGACCAAAGTAATTGTTCAAAATAATTTGATATTTGGGAAGGGCATAATTCTTTCCATATTCAAAACCTCTTAAAAATTAGAAACATTACAGTGTAGAAATGACATAGCAAAATATAGAAGGTTTAAAAATAGAAGTTTATAGAAGCTTAAAAAATAGATCTAAAAGTAAAGCCATCTGTATTGTAATCAATGTACTATTTATATGTACTAATGAATTTGTTCCTCACAGAAAGCCAGTGAAGCAGGGCCCATGGCTCACACTTGGAGATGAAGAAAGTGAGAAACAGTACTGGGTCTGCAGCCACTCAGCTGATGAGGGGCAGAGTCATTATCTGAACTCAGCAAGGCAACTGAACAAAAATTTAGCTGTTCTTGGAAAGTGTAATATTGAGTGGCAAAGTGAGGTAGAGAGAGGAACGTGGAGATGTTAAGAAAGTTGAGGCATTGCTTACCTTTTTAAGTATTGAAAGACAGGCAGAAAGTATTTGTTTCAAGTTGTTAGAAATGGTTATGGATGTTGGGGTATCTTGCAGGAGTAAAGATACTAAGTTCAAAGGAACTAGGTAAGGCAAAGTTTACTTCTGCAGAAGGATGCACCATCAGCCAAAAATCTGTCAAGCAAGCACACAGAGCAGGCAGGCTGCTCTCTTTTTATCCTAAACCTATCAGGCCCCGCCCCTCTGCTGGCATTGGCTGAGCTGGACTTCACAATCTGCAAAAATGACAGGCTTATTTAACAGGATGTAACTAAGGGGCTTCTAACAGGTTGTCTTAGAAAGTGCACTAGGAAACCAATGTATGTAACTAAAATGTAATTAAGAATGCACAAGCCACCAGGTCAAGGCAAGATTAGTGATGATTGCAAGCTCATTAATATGTATTATTACAATTCTATCTGATGTGTATATTGTTAATCTTTCTATGCACGATTTATAAATTAGACTTGATAGGATGAATAGGCGAAAGCAGCATATATAGGGGGTTGCAATTTTTTGAGATATTAGGTATCAACTAGAAGTCTTAGTACAGATATCTCACAGGGAGGATTACTATGTAGTAATCTTAGAAACATTTTTTTTTACAGAATACTTAATAATATTGGCAAATTGCTTATGATAAAGAAAAATCTAAGAGTCCACATCTTGGAGCTCAAATTGTTACTGGTCAATTTGGGGAGGATGAGAGACCAGAAAATATGAAAAAGTATCCATTTTCTTAATTTGAAATTATGCTTAAGAATAAAGTCTAAAAACAGAATAATCAGAATAATCCCAATTTTACATACACAGGAAAAAGACTGAAAATATACTAAATATTAGCAATGATTGTAAGTAATTTTTTCTAACATTTATAGATCTAAGTGAAGTTGATTTTTGTAAGTTAAGCTAAAAGGACATATAATTCTTCAATCAAGGTAAATAAGAACATTAGAGTACTATAAAGCTATGATGTGAAAATCCTTATTGAGAGCCCTTTTTTTTAACCTCACTTCTTGGAGAAGAATCAAAAAATTTAAAGGAAAAGACTGAAGAGCAGATTTAATACCTTTAAGACTTTAAAAGTATTCCATGGAGATTCCTAATGCTGGTAGTAAGGGCATATATTGGGTATGTTTACTTAGCTACCTAACTCACTAGTTACATAATCTGTGGCCATCACAAAAACAGATCTGAGACAAAGACCATTGTCCTCAGGAACTAATAAACTAAAAAATGTAACATTTGAAAACAGCCTTTGTATGGCACTCAACAATTGTTTATTTGAGTGCCTGTGTACTGTCCTGCCTCGAAATGACCTAGGCAAGGGGGAGGGGGAGGTTGGTCCATGGGGCTTGAACTCAGGGCCTGGGCACTGTCCTTGAGCTCTTTTGCTCAAGGCTAGCACGGTATACTGCTTTGAGCCACAGTGCCACTTCCTGATATGATCAGTTTAAATTGAACTGTTAGTGAGCAGGTTATAAATGATCTAAACAAAACAGAGACCAAAGATGAGATTTTTTAAAAATGACCTAAATATACAATGCTGACAGATTGCACTTACACAGATTAATTATAGAATAATATGACAGAGAAAACCCATTTCAACATCAATCAAAAGAAAAGTGTAAGGTCATGTCTGTAACTTAGCTACTCAGGGGCCGAGATCTGAGCATCTCAGTTGGAGACAGTCTAGGCAGGGAAGTCCATGACTCTCTCTCTCTGTGTGCATGCGCCCGCTCCTCCTGGGTCTTGAACTCTGTGCTTCTTTGACTCTGTGCTTTCTTTTGTGTGTGTGTGTGTGTGTGTGTGTGTGTGTGTGTGTGTGTGTGTGTTCCTCGGTCTTGAATTCTGTGCTTCTTTGACTCTGCTTTCTTTTGTGTGTGTGTGTGTGTGTGTGTGTGTGTGTGTGTGTGTGTGTGTTCCTCGGTCTTGAA